AGCAATTGGGGTTAACATCCCAAGTTCAGCGCATGAGCCTTATGCTGGGAAAATGACCTGTAAATTCCCTGCCAGGTAAGGATAGACCACTATTATCCAAGGGCCCCCAAAATCAGGGTTCCAGGCAACCCTGGTCTGTTATATAGTAGGAAAGGAAGTTATAGGCTCTCAGATTCCACCAAGATATCGATATTGTATGCCTGGAGTCTTCAAGATGGGTGTTGGGGGTGGGAGGAGCAAATCACCCAGGAAATACTCTGGTGGCAGAAAAAAAACTAAAGGTGCCACTTGAACCAACTATGACTGCCACCCATCAAGGTTGATGAGGCACATACAGATAAATCCTTACTGGCCCCTGTCCACAGCCAAGAAAAGGAAGGCCACTTGGCTGGGGTAGCTCCAGCCAAGCAAGTTCACAGTAGGTCAGGTGCAGAGGGTAGCCTGCCCAGTCCAAGTGCTCTACAGGCCTAGGAATTTGGCCAGCTCTAGAGTCCTACTGAAAGCAGCAGCAACTTAAGAGCTGGTGAAGCTCTTGCAGAGAGAGTTCAGCAACACAGCAAGGCATGAAAACCCATGGGCTCTACCCCACTTCCAAAGTGAGTCCTACTGTCAGAACAATGTCTGAAAGCCAGTGAGGGTAAATCAGTTCATGTTCTCACCGTGGATGTTAACAACTGCTACACAACACATGATAAATGTGGTACTCTTACTCCTAAAACCAAGGTGCATGACTCCTCAACTTGTCTCCTGACCTTATTCTTCTCCAAACCTTTCCATCACCTTGAATTATTTTCTGCAGTGGCACTACATACTTGTCCTCCAAGTAATCTCTATTTCCTCTGTCTAATCCAGCTGCCAGTTCTAAACCTCCCTCCCTTTGATCTTTCCTAAGCAAGCTCCTGTCCCCTCTTACCTAGCCCAACTCCTAAACATACCTGTAAACCCAACTTAACCTTTTCCTCCAAACGACTCCTCCTCCAGTGTCTCCAGGCTTCTCTGTACATGGTGACATCAGCCTTGACACTGGTTGCTACGCACTACTCTCTCCTGTCAATCCTTCCTCTGGCATAAAGGTTTCTTTGATGAGTAGTTGCATCCAGTCACTTTTGAACTCCACACTAACTTTTTCTCTAGGCATGGGTGGAATGCCAACCATGTGCCAGGCACTGGGAACACAAAACAGGAGCAATTCCAACCTCAGCAGATCAGTTTAACCATTTTCTAGTTTCATTTCCACATTTACCATCCCAGCCCTCTTGGTCTGGCTTAACTGGTCCACTCAGGCCAAGCAGCTTCTTGGTGCCTTCCTGTTCTATTATTCTGCCGATTTGTTGATCCTAGATAGCCTCTTTGAAATCTGCTTGAATAACAAATTCTCAGTAAGCAATAAGCATCCCATTCAATATACTTTATATAAAACCAAATCTTCATTTTTTTATATTTTGTCTCATACATTGAGGTCTCATCTCGAACCAGTTGACTTTCTTTCTGAGACATGGTTTCAGTGCAGCCCAGACTACCCTTAAATCCCACAGATGGTAGTATTTGCCCCTAACTCCTGAGCACTGGGATTACAGGCACAAGAAACTATTCCTGGTTTATAGGATGCTAGGTATTAAAACTAACACTTCATGTATGAGAGGCAAGCACTCTACCAACTGAGCTACATCCTCCATCCTGAAGAGGCCATTTCTTCCCAGTGATAGAGAACTGAGAACTTGGGCAATCTTTCTTGAGAATAGGAAGGTGGGTATACATTACTGAGCACTGCAGTGAGTATCCACTGTGGTACTGGACATGTGTGGACATGGATAATCTATTATGATCCTATTTCCTCCATTCTGTTGCAGCCATGTGCTCTCTTGTCTCTGGGCATACACTAAACTGCTTCGTCTTTCTTCTAAGTTTTCTGTGGCCACTCATCTTTGTAGCACTCAGACATTAGGCAGGATTGGCCATCGTTGCTCTTCCTCATGTCCAAATTCCTTAATTGTGTTTCAGTGTTCCTTTGTTTCTATAGTTGATGTTCTATGTCATACTAGCAGTTTTCCTAACTTGAAGGAAAGCAATCCCCTTCTAACTGGTTTTCTGCCTGCCAGTCAGTGCATCCTTTGCAAATGTGACTCCCTCTGTCAATTATCATAAGTCTGGAGTGGGCCCTCATAATACCAGAGGTCTCTTCCCACCAGACCTGCTATCATTTCTTTCTACTTTCCCCAAAAGTTCCATACCCCATACATTTTCCTGAACTAATGGAAGGCCCCACCTACTCCTCTCACCAAGTTCTCGAAGAGCCTTTCCCACTTGTCTTTTACCTAGCTACTTCCTCTAGGTTCTCCTGCCTCAAGAACTCCAGGGACCATTTTGGGGTCTCCTGGGTTTGAATAACAGTTCCTTTCCCTGTGCTTCCACATCGCCTGGTGAATTACTATTGCTCACCAGCCAGGCTGAAATCATCTAAACATAGGTCATATACACCATGGCCTCTCCAGAGCCTAGCCTCTGGGCCAGAACACAACTTGGGGGAGGGGGACAAAAGGCTCACTTCCCTCTTGTTGGCCAATTTCCTTAGGTCTTTCTCCATAGAACTACTGCCACCTAGGGGCAAAAGGCAGCCGCTGCATCTCACTCATCATTCAGCACTTAACCCACTGAATATGATGGAAACACAAACCAGAGAACAGTTTATTCTGGAGGAAGTGAAAACTCCTTCGCATTTGGAGGCAGCTTCAAGTGGTGTTTGTGCTCTGAGCTAGGCCACACTGCTTTCCAGGGAAAGAGCCGAAAGGGTCAGAGAAGGGCATAGAGGGACATCCCAAACTAAGGGCTTCTAACTTTAATCTCTAGAACCATTTGAACAGCCCAGCATATTTTTTTTTCATGCTCCAAGACAACTTAATCAAGAAAAACATAGATCTGCATCTTCAAAAGTCAACTCCTGTTGGTGTGCAAAGCAGTAAGTGTGAGAAGCAACTGAACAAGCACAGGAACGAGTATGTTCTTCAGTCTCTGCCTTTCTACTGTTGCTCAGGGACCTATTCCTGAACACAGCCAAATTATAGTTGTTTCCCTCGAACCAGTCCTTCAACAGAAACATTTCCTATTTCTCTCAGCTTCTTCACAGACCTTGAAGTCACAGCATTAAAAAAATATTTTTAGGCTGGGCGGTGGTGTCCCACACCTTTAATCCCAGCACGTGGGAGGCAGAGGCAGGTGGATTTCTGAGTTCGAGGCCAGCCTGGTCTACAGAGTGAGTTCCAGGACAGCCAGGACTACACAGAGAAACCCTGTCTTGAAAAAACGAAAAAAAAAATTTAGATTTATGTGTTTTGTTTGCACATATGTATGGGAACCACATGTAGGCTTAGTGTTCTGTGAAGTCAGAAGGCAGAGGGTCTTTGGGAGCTGGAGTTATGGATAACTGTGAGCCATCATGTGAGTGTTAGGAACTGGACACAGGTCCTCTGCAAGAGCAACAAGTGCTCCTGTCTACAGAGCCTCCTTTCCAGCCCCACAGCATTTTCAAAACTAGATCTCAACAGTTTTGCATACACCAGTTAAAAGGCAATATGTTGGAGGGATCTAGGACTGGCTTTCAAACCCTACATTGACCACTACAGTGGATGAGATTATCCTAAGTTTCACTTTCTTCTCTAACACGGATATTATAACACCTACCTTAGGGGCTGGAGACATGCCTGTGAAATATTAACACATGGTACATTGTTGAAAGACTCTGGTGATTATTTGTAACTGCAAATATTCCATGTGTGGCATGCACAATACTGGGGGGTTTCCTCACATTTTTACAGCTGCACGATACTTTCACCCTGCTATTCCACAGGCAATTCAATACAGCTTACTCAAGATCTTAAGAGCTTCGCCCAGCTCATCATAGATAGGGCTGGAGAACTTTTCCAGGAAGATTATTTAAAGATTTCTCACCTCTGTGTGTATGTGTTTTGGTGGTGAGGAGAATCAAAGAACCCTAGCAACGCCTCAATGTGTTTTTGATACTCACAACTGGAAGAAGTAGGCAGAGATGCTAATACTCAGTAGGCAGAAGCCAGGCATGCTCTCCAACTTCCTATGATGCATAGGGCAGCCAGGCCCCCACAACCAACCATTATCTGACGCTAACTGCCTGTAACAAGGAGGTTAAGAAAGCTTTCTCTAACATCCGATCTTGCCCCTTCTAGAGCTCTGGTCAGCGGTGTCCCACGTGAACACTTCCAATAATGGAAGCTCTGTCTAGCACAAAAAAGTTCTCCACCTGCTCTGCACATAGTAGGTGTCAAACCCATTTTGACATGCTTTAGCAGCAGAATACAGGAGAAAAGGAAGACCCACCATCACTACCCATTGTTCAACAGCGTGCAATTAGCTTTCCAATATTTACACATTTTCTCTTTTTTTTTACAAATGAAAACGTCCTGAAAACAGCTTTGTTGGAGATGGCGATCAAAGAAAAATCTCCTCTTTCTCTACTAGGACTTCCACACATACAGAAGAAAGGTTTGCACACTTCTAAAAGGACCTCACGACCCGTCGCGGTGTATCCTGAAAATCGTCCACAAAAGAAATCTATGGGATTTCCCGAGGGAGCAAGTCTGTGTGTGGGCCGTGACCTCTGGCGCCCAAGGCCTTCGCTCCACTCTTCCACCCCCGGATCACCGGACCTCCGAGATCAACTATCCAGGGGCCCCCAAGCTTCGGAGCCCGGCCCCCCAAAGCGCGTGCCCACGCCGTGTCCTTCTCCCGCCTCTCTCGCGGGAGCCCAGAGAGGAATCTGGCCCGGGGGAGGCTTGTCGCCAATCTGAATCAAACAGAGTCAGTTCCCATTCGGCTAGCCGCGGCCCACACGCGCGTCTCCATACTCAGGCCTACCGCGGCCTGGGGCCTTCGGCCGGTGCAGGCCCGGCGGACGCCCGCGGGGCTAGGCGAGCTCAGGCCCTAGCGCGGCCTACTCTTTCGGAAGTCGCCGAAGCCTCCGGCCTCACCTGAACACGGGCTGGAAGGCCCGGGGCTCTGCTCCGGGGCGGGCGGCGCGGCGATAACGGCTCCGCACGGCCTCGGTAGCGGTGGTGGCGGCGGCAGAGCGGTAGCGGTAGCGGCGACGGCGACGGCTACGGCTGCGGCTCCTCCTCAGCGCGCACGACCCGCTCCCCGGCCCCGCGGCCCGGACACGCCCCCTTCTCAGCGCGCTTTACTATTGGTCAGTGTCTTTGAAGACGCGACGCTCATTGGTTAGTATGGCTGTCCCGGTACTCGGGTGCGCGCGCGAGGGTGGGACTTCCTGTCGGCGTCGTCTGCGGTGGACCAGGGCGCCCAGTGGAGTCGCGGAGTGGCTAGCGATGGCCGCGGAGGGGGCGAGCTGGAGCCTGGCCCACAGTAGACGCCGACTGGACGTCGAGGCCAAAGAGTGGCGCTTTTTATAGAACGCACGTCGTGTGGTCCTCACAATGTGGGCTGTACAGCCGCTTACGTCCAAAGTAAGCAAGGTGATCATCGGGAGCCCAGGCTAGGAGGATAGGATCCCCAATTCGAATCCCGGCCCGGACATTTCCGGTCTGCCTACTGTTGAGCACCAGCTGACGTCACTAAGTCTGGCCTCAGTTTCTTTAACTGGTGAAGCGGGGTAAAGGTCGGCATGGGCAGCCTCTGGGAATCTAACGTTAAAATTCCTTGGTTTTAAGAATTTCTTAATATGTATGCATGGGTGTTCAGCCTGCATGTATGTCTGTGCACCACGTGCGTGTAGTACATACGGAAGTCAAAGAGAATGTCGGATCCTCTGGGACTGGTGTTACAGACTGTTGTTAACTGCGCTTGGTTGCCGAGAACTGAACCCATGTCCTCTGGAAAAGCATCCAGTGCTCTTTTTTGTTTTGTTGTTGTTATTGTTTTTTTTTTTCCCCCGAGACGGGGGTTTCTCTGTATAGCCCTGGCTGTCCTGAAACTCGAACTCAGAAATCCGCCTGCCTCTGTCTCCCAAGTGCTGGGATTAAAGGCGTGCGCCACTACCGCCCGACGCATCCAATGATCTTAATTGCTGAACTATCTTTCCAGCTCCACTTCCTTCGAAATTTTAAATGCCTACTAATGTATGTGCCAGCCAGTCGGGCAGTGAGCAGAAAAACAACTGCCTGTCCCTTTGGGGGGTGGGAGGCTCCTGTTCTGGGCTAGTGCTATCAGAAACGTTTATGCCAGCCTGTTTGATTTTAAAATCTCTATTGTCTCTGCCTCTGTCCGTCGTTTTATAGCATGTTTGTTTTCTTTTAGTCAGAATCTTCTTAGTTTGGAACTTATAAATCGTGCTGACCATTGCTTCACAGAGATCTGCCTGCCTCTGCTTCCCGAGTGCTGGGTTTAAAGGTGATGTGTATGTTTTTGAGACAGTGTCTCATATGATGCAGGTTGACTTTAAACGTTCTATGTAACTGAGGATGTCAGTGAAATGATCCTTACGCTTTCATCTCCCAAGTGCTGGGATTACAGGCTTGCAACACAGCAGCTGGCTATAGGTAACCTTTTAAAAACAGTTCTACGGGATTAGAAAAAATGTTATACTTTAATATTTTATATGATGTGTGTATGTATTTGTATGTATGTATGTTTGTATGTATGTGTATAATGTATATATTACAACGTGTATGTGTTTGTGTGAACATATATGTGGAAGTCAAAGGATTACTGTTTGCAGGAGTCAATTCTTCCATCATAAGGGACCTGAAGGTTGAACTTAGGTTGTCACACTCAACAGCCATTGTCTATTCAACTGAGCCATCGTTATAGTCTTGTGATGTTCTTTTGTTTTGTTTTGTTTTGTTTTTCGAGACAGGGTTTCTCTGTATAGCCCTGGCTGTCCTGGAACTCACTCTGTAGACTAGGCTGGCCTCGAACTCAGAAATCCACCTGCCTCTGCCTCCCAAGTGCTGGGATTAAAGGCATGCGCCACCACCACCCGGCTGATGTTCTTTTTTTTAAAGTTAATTTATTTATTCACTTAACATCCTGATTGCTGCCCCCACTCTTGGTCCCCCTCTCCTCCTCTGAGAAGGTGGAGACCCCCACCCATAACCCCCTCACCCTGGCATATCAAGACTCTGCAGGGATAGGCACATCCTCTCTCACTAAGGCTAGACAAGGCAGCTCAGTTAGGGGAGCATATTCTGCCTGTGACATTCTTTTTTTTTTTTTTTTTTTAAAGATTTATTTATTTATATGAGTACACACTGCAGCTATCTTCAGACATACATTAGAAGAGTGCATCGAATGACATTACAGATGGTTGTGAGCCACCATGTGGTTGCTGGGAATTGAACTCAGGACCTCTGGCAGAGCAGTCGGTGCTCTTAACCACTGAGCCATCTCTCCAGCCCTGCCTGTGACATTCTTAATCAACTCTGTACAGTAAAACTTTAAGGAAGCCACAAAGTTGTCAGCTATATGGCAACTTAAAATTTTAAAATTATTAACTTATGGGCCAAGGGTGTAGCTTAGTGGTAAAGAACTTTCCTAGCACATCCAAGGAGGTTCACAAAGGAAGAGGAAAGGGGGAAAAAGGACATGGATCTAGTTTAGTGGCTGAGTGTTTTTGTAACATACACAAAGTCCTGTACTCCAAGGACTCAGGAGATAAAGTAGAAGGGTCAAAAGTTCATGGGCAGGATGGAAAGGTGGCACAGCAGTTATAAACAGTTACTACTTTTCAGAGGACCATAATTCAATCCCAATCAACCCATCTGTTGACTCACAACTACCTTTAACTCCAGCACCAAGGGATATAACACCCTCTTCTGTTTCCCAGGGGCACTGCACTCACATTTGCAAATCCACACTCAGACGTACATATACATACATAATTCAAAAATAAAAATACAATCTTCCCTTAAAAAATGGTTCATTCTTGACTGTATAGCAAATTCAAGGCTAGCCTCAGCTACATGTGATCCTTTTCTTTTTTTTTAAAGTAAGTTATTAGTTGAAAAGGTAAAAATAACAGGTCTGCAAGATGGCTCAGCAGAATGAGACACATCTGACTTCACTTTCCAGGACCCACATGGTAGAAAGAGAGAACTGATTCCTGCAAGTTGTCCTGCCTTGTTTACGCTTTGCAGATGAAGATGTGCCTCTTACTTTCATATCCACACATTGGCACACACACTATATTTTTAGTACAAAACCTAGATATTTTTAATAGCTTTATTTAACCGTATTTTTTTTTTTAAGGTTCTAAATTTTATTTCTGGACAGACACCTAATTTAGACACAAGCAAGTCTCCAGGTTAAAAATGTTGAAATCCATCTGGTAGGGCTGACCGATGACCATAGTTCAGTATAAACCCTCAGTCTTGTCACTGTGTAAATCCTTACAGACCCAGCTTCGTTCTCCTCCAGTGTCTTCTCTTAGAGTTGTACCTGATTTTGTTACCAGTTTTCATCCGGATGAGGAATTGGACGATTTTGCTTTTGTTTCTTGGCCAGGAATCGCTTGATTCTGAAAGTCTTGTGAGAAGACATGGCGAGAAGCCGAATCAGGCACAGTGCGCACGATGGCGGGGGTAAAGGAGAAGAGAGAGACTTAACCGTATTTCAACATATGATCAACGTTAAAAAGTTACGATACCTTTTGCCAGGAAGTGGGGGCACACACCTTTAATCTCAGCACTCAGGAGATAAAGGCAGGTTTGAGGCCAGCCTGCTTTACAGAGCAAGTTCTAGGACAGCCAAAGCTGTACAGAGAAACCCTGTCTCAAAAAACAAAACAAAAAGTTATGAGATCTTCTATAGTCTTGTGTTTTTTCCTCCATTTGTTTTTGAAACCTTGTGTATATTTTACATATGTAATTGGACCAGTTGCATTTCAAGGATTCAGCAGTCCCACATTGCCATTGGACCATAAGGAGGCAGAAGAAAAATCAAGTGGCTTCCATGTGAAGTGGTTTTTAAAAAGGGTAAGAAGAAAAGTAAGCTGGGAAAAGGGTAATGGAAGGAAGAGATTGTAGTTCAGAGGGTAGCCAGGAACGTGGGGAGGATGGAGTATGAAGAGGGATCAGAGGAGTTGGGAATAGGTACATTCTTTGTTGTTTAATATTGCCCTGAAGATCATGCAGAAATCATGGGTCTGGGGTCTGGGAGATAGCTTAGTGAGTAAGAGGTTTGCTATGCAAGCGTGAGGACCTGAGTCCAGAGTCTGGTGCACACATAAAAAGCCAAGTATGGCCTGTGTGTCTATAACCACAATGCTATGGGAAACAGAGAGGGGAAGATTGATGGGACTTGCTGGCTGGCAGCCTAGCTCAAGATTCAAGGGAGACTCTATCTCAAAGGAATAAGGCAGGCAGTGATAGAGATCAAGATATCCATTGTGGGGCAGTGGATTGTGCCAAGAAACTTGGTAAGGTTGAGTGGGTTCAAGAGACCCCAGCACCATCTGAAGACAGTAGGTGTTTCCCTACCAGATTCCTGGCCTGGAACATGTGATCACACTCCAGTCATTGGGATGTGATGGCCATATGGCACGAAACAGTTCTCTGTGCTACTGAGGTATCTAGATGGGCCCTGGGGATTTAGCCAAGCTTTTCTTCCCAGACATTCCTTCCCACAGAAGGTATTTAATCTCTGGTCCACCCTGAGGAAGTGGTATGCACCCATTTTCCATGATGAACATTGAATAAATGGTCTGGATAAGCATGGACTGTCTCTCATCAAGAACTGCCATGTCTGCCTTCATCTACAGAGCTTTGAAGTCTAAGTCTGCTGCAGAAGGCCCCTCCTTGATAGCCAGAGTAGTGTCTGCCTGCCTCGTCCTGGTCTTCCTCAGCCAGTGGGCCCCAGACTCCTCCTTGAGATTTCCAGTAGCCATCTGGATGTTCGAGAGTCAAGGAACCCCAACTTCAGCCTCAGCCTGTGTAGTTTCTCACTCAGGCTAAGGCCTCCAGCCTGGTCTGCATTCTCCCACCCCCTGAGTGGTGCTTCCTGAAAGCCCAATGGTAGCATGGGGTAACATGGAGTCTAGCATCTCCCGTTTCGCCTGCCCAAGTGGCATTCAGCGGAGAGGCAGAATGTGGGACCACATCTGGTGCCTATAACATGGGGCTTATCCAGCTGACACATCCCCTAGCTGTCCACCCATACAGACCCACATTGGAACTCTGGATTAAACAGACTGA